TCTATTGATTTATAGATTAATAGTTTTACTGGACAGAAATTACAAAAAACAAATCTGGTTCTTAATCGAATCCTAATGAGTCAAATTGAAAGTGTCATGGAGTCATCAGCTTCATGACATTAACACTGACATGAAAAATAATATTGAAGAAATAAATATATTAAATCTTATTAAAAACATAAATAAGTGATAAGTTCTTTACTGTTATGGTCTGTAAGATATATTTATTCTCAGTACTACATATGGTCTCAACAAATCCATGGCACTTCAACAATATTTTACCTTTTATCTGGAAATAGTGTCTGTTTATTCTTGCCATACAGTCCTCTGCATTAAGTATTGATCGAAAGGTTTTGCCATACCAGTTTATTCCTCTGTATTTACTTTAGTTTCTTAGTTTATTCTTGCATTTTGTTCTTCATTCATTTCCATTTGGTTTTCTTGGATTAGTATTCTCCTGTCTTGGTTTATTGTTATGTCTTCTTTAGTTTCTTTCCTGTTGCTAGTTTTATTTTATCGTTTGTATTGACGCTCACCACCAGTAATCTTCACTCATCATGCCATTCACCTGCCCTGATATTGATTTTTCACTGTTCACCGCCAGATTCTCTGATCCTGATTCACATCTAGTTTGTTCGTTGCCCGGTTCTGTGTCCCGGTTCACCTGTTTCATAGTTTTGCGAAAGGTGTGTGTTTTTTTTGTTTTTTTTTAACCAACTGCAGTGCGGAGCTGTCGGGGAGCATATCAATGAAGAAAAGCAGACTGACGTAAACCTTTTAAAACGACAGAAAAATCCCAGTCTAAACTGGCATTGTTGTGCATTTAAGGTGTAAAGTTTACGTTGGAGCAAACGCCCCCAAAGGAATCCCAGCGCGCCACTTTTGTAAAAATTTCTGCCAGCGCCCCCTGCCGTCCACCCCTGCTCTAGGTTCTGTTATTCTTACTAAGACATTCTTATATGTCTTAATCTATGTTTATCTTCTTTCATGATTATAGATATAGATTATTTTCTTTAATCCTTCTAGTCATTCCTTATTTCAGCCTCCCTGTAGTGTTTCTAGTAATACTTATGTCTTAGTTATTTCATCACCCTAGGTTCTGTTATTCTTACATGTCTGAGTCTATGTTTACCTTTCTTTAGTGGTTCCAGTTAAGTTACTAAGTCCTTCTAGCTTGCCTCATAGTGTTCCTAGCTTTTTCTATCTGGTTTCCATGGGTACGGATTCATCTCCATCCATGCCCATCTTCCTTTAGTAATCCTAGTTAGGTTATTCCTTAAGTCCTTCTAGTTCCTGTTTCTAGTTTTCTTATTTTTTCACCTTAGGTTTAGTTTGTCTTTTTGTCTGATTTATGTCCATCTTTCCTTAGTGATTCTTGTTAGGTTATTTCTTTGTTTAGTCCTTCTAGTTACTCTAGCTCTACATTCCTTAGTTGTTATAGTTAGATCAGCCTTGTTTCTGTTTGGGGTTGTTCATGTTTTCCCTCAAGTCTTTTTCTCTTCTAGTTTATCAGGTTTCCTTAGTATTGTTCCCTCCCTGTTTTTTTTTCCCACTATTTCTCCTTAGCCTTCCTTCTCCCCACCCCTCAGCTTGCTCCTGTGCCAACCACTCACACCTGCTATCAGTTATCTCATCTAGCTCGGCCCATTGCTCCATTTGCTACCTCCCAGTATTTAAGCTCCTCTATTTCAGTCACTACTTGCCAGTCTGTCTCACCACTTTGCTCGTCACTCTTCTTGTCACTACCTTTGTTCCCTTGTGTCTCCAGTTTGCCTTGTCTTAGATTTCCTTGTACCCCTGGATTTTATGTTGTTAGTTGATTTTCGTCATTAAAATATTCACAATATACTACATCTACTGCCTGCTGCGATTGCATCCACTCCTACACACATCGTGGCAGAATTTTTTATTTGTGGGGTGCAAGATGTAATATGTTCCGTCACTCAGGAGTCCGGTTCTTAATTTTTGGGTTTATATCCTCTATAAGTGTCTCTCTTTCTTCTATTAGTCCAGCAAATTTACTACAGACTCAGTTTTGATTTTTGGGAGGTTTTTTATTTATTATTTTATCTTTTTAATGTTTTCATAAGCACTTTGAACTGCCTTGTTGCTGAAATGTGCTATACAAACAGAATGAAATTAGTCATCAAACCTTCACAAATAGAAACAAAAGACAAAAGGATGTTTTGATAATGACAGCTGATCGATCTTGTATGATGGAAGTAACCAGACTTTGACTTTTACCTTTAAGTTTGGGTAAAATGTTGATGCTGGAAGGTCCTGATGATGGAATGGAGACTTTCATGTTGACACCACTGCAGCAAAGATGAGCCAATGATAGAATGTCATGAGATATGGAGTTTTTTACACATTCTGTGTTGTAATCCTGCTTTTTCTTTTGTCCCTTTGCTGATACAACTATTTGCATGTTTCTTATTCCAGCTGGGTCTCTCATTTCAGATTATATTCAGCAACAGAATTCAGGTGAAGAGGAATTTACAAAACCTCAGAGTGACGGTAAAGAAACCAACATGCCTCTCTTTTGATGTATTCTGTTGGTGCTAAATACAATCTATATTCATCACCATGTCTCGCTACGGATGTGCAGAGAGATAGTGCCTGCTTTCTTTTTCTGTTTTTGGCACTAAATGGTCCAAATTTTTCAACATCAGTTGATGTCTGAGGTCTTTCAGAGCCAAAGTCGTTCTCTTTTTAACAAGGAATGTTTTTGTAATGTTTCTGGCCCGTCTGCCTGCCATGTTCTCCTCCTTTGCACTCTCCTCTCATCAAGCTTATCTGGTTCACCTGCATGCTGCTGCGCTGGAGCGCAATCAGGCTCATGTCTCCCACCTGGCCACCAGCAGTTATATTCAGCACTCAGGAGGGCCGACGGCGCCAGATTTTTGAAAGCCACCGTGTGAGTAAATATCCAGCATTTCTTCCTGACCTGACCACGATCTGAACACTTTTCCGCCCCTCGTATTTCCCTGCCTTGCCTAGCCCTTATTGGATTCTCCTCTGGCCTCTGTTTCCTGGACGTGACCCTGTTTCTGCCTTCCGACTACTGCCTCTTGCCTCGCCCTTGGATTTAGTCTGCCTGTGATCGTTTGTAAGTTTGGAACCTTTTTCTGTGCCCTGACCATCGTTCTCTGCCCGACCCTCTGAAAGGAACTCTATTGGTTGCCTGTCCTTTACCCCATCCCTAATTAAAGTACTTAACTTTTATTCTGTGTCTGACTGAAATTTCGGGTCCTCAAGTTCTGATCATTACAGTTTTGCAGCATTCTACTACTACATAGTACAGAAGTTGTACAAGATTAAACTGAAAACTTAAACTTAACCGATGAGACATTCTCCTTTAGGATTTTGTGAAAAGAGAGCTATTCATGGTGTTGGTTAAATTCAGAAAGTCATCCAGGTCCAGGCGATCCCACTAACAGAACTACGTTTGGCTGGGGTCATTTTATACAAGATAAAATGCATATAAAAAAAGATGTGCACCAAAAAGTTCCACTTTGTCTTGTCAGACTTCTGTTAAACAGATCTGAGCCCAAACTTTGAGTAGGCCACACTAAAGTTGTGTTTATATAAATTTATTTTTGAGCCACTTAGGGATGGGGTTGCCTTTCATTACTGCATTACCCACAGGGCCGGCCCTGATTACCCACATCGGCTTGGGTATTAAGCATTCCCAATAATAATCCACTACTCTGACAAGAAGGGTGGCGCGCAAACAAACTTTAAGTTATAAACTCCGGCCCCAGTGAGCTGAAACCATTGCGCAATACCTCTCTATAACTCAACCTGCAACACAAATTTTGTAGGAATTAATTATGATGAAGGGAAATGGAATATGTTGAGGAGGTTTCTGCAGAGCAGGGCCAGAACGGTTGATTACAATCATAATGTTGCACTCACCTTTGAAAGAGCTGATTTTTGTTGAATTTTGGTTTGAAAATGACTCCTCCTTTGACGTGGGTGATCCTTTTGTCGTAGGTCAGTTTCTTTGGCTTGTAGCAGAACCAGGGCTCACCCGTGTGGAGGTCGGTGTAGTTGCACAGCTTCTCTTTGGGACCCTTGAGGCAAACGTTGCATCTAACCGTCTCTGAGATGGAGCCTGAGCGAAAGACACTTAGAAAATATGCTCTGTCTGGATACTCTTGGGTCACTTTGGCCAAGACTGTGATTCCCTCACTGGGGTGAACCAAGGAGACCTTTTAGGAACAAAGACAGAACAAAAAACAGAAACATTAAACCAAACATTATTATAAATCACATTATTGTATGTTCAGTGATTTGCCTCCTTATGGATTCTCCTGTTTCTCATGATAATCTGAACATTATCAGTTAATCTCATAATTTCTTTTTAGAAGTGGGATGTTTCACTACAGATACAAATTCCCTATTGAAGGTCCGTTATTCATTTACCAGAGTTGCAAAAACCATAAACAGAAACTATATTTAAGGGAGAACATACTTTTTCACAGCAAAGTCATAATTAGACACTAAAAACAAAACATGTACTTGATGTTTATGATTGGAAAGCCTGCTTCAAACTTTTACATTTAAATTCTATTTCTTTATTCAAAGCTTTTTACTGTTTCCTAATGAAAAGTAAAACCAAGGTGAAAAAGGAGGTCTTAGCTGAAACACTTTACTGCAACACTTGTCGTTAAAACTTCTGAGTCTTACCTCAACTTTTGCGTCTCCTTCCCAGAGTAAAGAGAACACAGCGGTGTAGGAACCGTTGCGATGATCAAACACTTTCCCCGCCACGCCTGCAAACACAGCACGGTTCTGCAGCCGAGCGTACAGCAAGTCTCCCCCAGACTTCCTGGGGCGACCACGGAAGTCAGAGACTTTTATCAGAACCTCCAGCTGATCCCCGACGTGCCAACTTCCCCCTCCTCTCCGTGGGAGAATGGTGAAGGTGCTGTGAGCGGGATCACTGGTGTCATTCAGGGAAAAGCCAGGCGGTACAGACGGCGTTTCAGGCCAGGCGATGGACTCCTTCAACAAGTTGACCTCTGTGGCGTTTTCAGGTGACGCAGAGTGGAAGGAGCAGACGCTGGCTGGCTCAGTGGGACGTAACGGAGTGATGGTGGTGGGTACCGGCGCCATTTTGGTAGGTATTATGTTAGTTATCTGAGGCAAAGAGGCAAATTAAATCTTAAACTAAAAGAAAGTTTAGAGCTTGTATGCATGAAGTGCCCTACAATCACAGTTTCACTTCAAAAATACTGATTACTTTTGAGATCTCCATGTGATCATGAAACATGCGTCACTTTTTATGTGACATCTCCTGTCCTGTTGTGAAGACAACTCTGTTCAGTTCCTCTAAATGCTTTTAACAAAGATGTTCCAATCCTCTCTGTCTTAAAGTCAAGAATGAAGTACCTTTGTTTCTTTGTTTTGTTTTTTTCTACATTTTAGAATTTCTACTTCATTTCTGAATAAATTTTGAAAAATATCCTGATCAGTTTTCAGACTAATTTTTAAATATAGCCCCTCCTGATTCTTTGTAACCTCACTGAAAGCTCAAAGGATGCTAAAGTGAAAAGGCTCAGAAATTCCAACTAGGACAACTAAACTTTAACCGTGTCTAAGAAAATGCAGTTAAGCTACATAATTTGATTCAGTAACTGTTTGGATTCAAAACACAAAGAAGAACTAAACATAAAATAAATGCTATAAATAAATAAATAAATAAATAAATAAATAAATAAATAAATAAATAAATAAAATGTTGAGTAAATGTATTTGTAAATTAGTATTTTACATTAATAGAAATCCGAAAAGGTATGATACCAGAAAGGTTAGGACTCGTCTTGGTTAAAGAGTAGTTTGAATAATAGATAAAGTTTTATTAGACAATTACTTCTGGAACCAAGCTAATTTTTATTTTCCCGTTTCACCCCGCTGGCTTTTGTCCCTGGGTTCCTGTGTTTTGTTTTGTTCTGCTCTGGCTCCCTGTGTGCTGTTGATTTCTGAATGTTTTTTTTTTCAATTAAATATTTATTTAGTTTACTCTACACAACCAACAAAATGACAGTTGCATTGTCACAGTTTACATTGTTGACAAATTGTAGGTGGAACAGATTTAAATAACTTCTTGCAGAAAATAAACAAAATAAAGGAAAAAATTAAGCAGAAGTTTAAAGTTGACTTTAAGCTTCGATTTAAAGCAAACACCAAACTTTTCGAATCAGGAATAAGGCTATGAAAAAAAAATGTAAATGATAAATTTAGCTTTACCTGGTTTTGGAAAGTGCATATCATATTATTTGGTCACTGTTTGATCATTATTCCTGTTCAGTCTATCTTATGGGCGTTTCCTTTTGAACTTAAGATAAAACAGACATGTTGATTAAAGAAAGCAAAATGGACGGAGTGTGTACACACCTTTCTGAAAATGCAGAGTTTCTGTGAAATCAAAAGACAATGCATAAGTTCAAATACATCCTACAAAGTTTATTTGCACAAAACAATGTACACACCGTTAATCTAGTACTCAGTGTTAGAAGTGGAGGTGTGTCAGAACAAGAAAAGAAATAGTCAGTCTTGACAGACCAGTGGAACAGCAAACCAGAATATTTGCTGCCACTGTGACCAAGATGTCGGACCAGTGACACAAACAAGATGGCAGCAAGAGGGTTTGAAAATGAGAGTTAAGATTTTCACCAAATTACCAAAAGAAATTAGTTAGAGACAGTTAGAAAGACAAGGATGAGATGATTCGGACGTG